TGTTTATTTTCAATTTTTCTAGTTGAATTGTTCACCTATATTGCATATGATCCATTATTGTACATAATTAGGTTACAATAAAATTTGTATTTTATATGAATGCTACCTTACGTAAATTGAGATGTAGTAAAGTGGGAGGGAGTATATTATAGATTGTGGGTGGCACAAAACCCTTGCACCGGCCATGCTTATTGGAACCTAAAGGTTAATCTGCTGAATGATAGCAACATCTCTCTGCAAAAATAGGATAAGAATCAGTTTGTTCTGTGCAGAAAAAAAATGGCAGTCATTTATATGAAATGTCCTGAGTTTCAAAATCTCAAATAAATAGTTACATTGAGATTTTGAAGCTTTAAAATGAGTTGAAAAATTAATATGATAGATAAAGAAAAATAAACTTCAGATCTTACAAGACAAAATATTAAATAACAAAAATGATTAGCAGATACCAACAAAATCTGAAGAAGATTGATGAAAATCCTGGACAATTTTAATACAGGTCTGGTAAGGGCAAGTTGAAGATTTTATCTTTCCAATCTGTGTCTTATATCAAGAGAGAAGTTATAAATAAAAAAGCCATCTTTGTCAAGCTATGGAATATTTAGGTATTGTGGCAATAAGTAATTGCTAAAAAGCACATTATGTCCTAAATCAAGTGGTAAAACATGTAAAACCAATCATGAGACGTCCTTAAAAAGATATCCATAATGAAAATTCAATAAAATGAATAATAGGTTATAAGAAAACTGATTTTGCAACTGTTTTTCTTTTTTCATTGATGAATGCTGTGATAACTTCAGTGAGTCAGGCAGGTAGAACAAACTCTGGGTGCCTACTGATGGAAATGACTCCTACAGGTTGGGATGTCAAGAAAGGTGGTAATGTTATATTTGGATGGGATTCTAGGCAGTGAACTAGTAGATTTATTGAAGACATGGGGAATTAAATGTTTCAGAAGGAAAATGTTTTTTTTTTCAGTTGTGCTTAGAATTTGCCATCATGTTTGGCAAAGAAAACTGATGAATATTTGAAGAAAATATTTCAAAGATACTTATTTCATGAATTGGCCATTTTGAATGGAAACTTGTGGAGTTTTCTCATGAGGAAATTTTATCAACAGAGATGAGGTTTGAAATGTTATTCTGGATGCTGTATTGATTCCTTGAGAAGTTTTACTGGATCCATTATGCTTTCCTGATTTGTCTTTTTTTCAAGTTATTCATTTTGGTCTCTTAATGTTTGTTCAGCAAGCAATTTTACACAAATGACAGTGTTGTTACAGAGGTGCAAAGGGGGGTGCCATTTGTTTTAGACCACATTCTTTGAAGAGAGTATGTATTTGTGTACCAATGGAATAAGTGCATCAATCCAAATGGCAACAATGTAGAAAAGAAGCATACCAGTGCTGGTAACATATACATTTTTTTTTATTTGCATGATAATAAACACATTGATTTGGTACCTTTATGGACAATCTCATAAATTACTAATTTCATTTTACTACTGTTTTTGGAATATATTGGTGGCTGGATCATATTTTTTTATAATTTTTTTTGCAACTATTCTATATATTAAGTTAACTTATTTTATTGTGGTTGATATAATTTTAAATTATTGTTGGTATTTTTGTTGACAGTTATTTTGAGCTTTCATTTTAGTTAAATTTCTCCTTGTTTATATATTCTTGAACTGTTTTATTTTAATAAGGAAAATTACATTTGAATATTAATTGTTTAAAATATTGATTGAATTTTGAATAATTTTATATCTATGCATATGCTTATATTATAATTATTACTTTATTGAATATTTTCCTTTCATTTTTGTTTTATTGAAATGCTTTGATTGTTTTACATTATAAAAATGCTAAATAAACAACATGGTTCAGAAATGAACAAGAGATTATCACGATAACTAAAATGAGTCCAATCTATTAGCATGCAACACAACTGACAAAAGGACTGTAAGAAATATAATAAAAAAATAACTGCCATTCTGAAAATTATTCTTTAATTATTCTATTTTGCTTGCTTAAAAAAAGGAACAAAAATACAATGACATCATCATAACAGCCAATATCAAACTTTTTAAAATATTTAAATATATGAAAGAGATGTCTGTGTAACCCATAAATCTTGAAAATGACTAGAAATGTTTTGAAGTATTTGATCGCATACGATCAGACATACAGGCTGGATTTAATAAGATGATTTTGTATGAAAATAAGAAAAGTAAACAAAAAGATTGAAAAAATCTTTATAAGTTTTAATGACATATATATATATATATATATATATATATATATATATATATATATATATATATATATATATATATATATATAAAATTATAAATTCAAAGTGGTATTCTTCTAAAAGGAATGGCTAAAGTAAGAGTGCTCAATACAATTTTCATAAAACAAAAATGTAGGGAAAGTTAAGATATAAAATATCTGAAACACTGACCTTTCTGCAACCATAGTTTCTACCAAGATGGTTTTGCCAGGCAGTAAGTTAGTGCTTCGTGTCAAAAAAACTTATTTATAATTGTACTTGCAATTGGAGGGAGGAGGAAAAGAGGTAGGAAGAAAAAGAGAGGCAAAGCTGAATAGAAAGTGTGTGTGTGGTGGTGATTGGGGTGGGGGAGTGTAGACAAAAAAAACGTTTACACAAATATTCCTATGATCTGGGATCATTATTGGCCAACAGAAATCTTCTTGCATGTTTACGGTCTGCCATTACGTCTGATCTCTCATTAAGCAGGATGCTTCAATTAGTATACATCATTATGGCCAATTTCTCTTTCTGGCATAATATTCACATCTCACCTCAACTGTTGCATGCTCAGGTCTTTTTCAATATATCTCATTTAATGCTCGAACTTTTATTATTTTTTTCTCTTACATTCCATACAAAACTGGCAGGTTTTGTACTATTTTTTTACTTTGCCAGTTTAAGAGAAGATTGGTGTTTATACCAACTCATTTTAAACATCCCCTCTGTGGATCCAATATATATTTTTCTTGGCCCATTTCTTGCTCTACAATGAGCCTATATACCATACCTTCCACTTTATAATTGCCATTTAATGGACATTTGGTTTTATTTCAGCAATTGCAGCATTCCTTGATTGAATTCACATTAGCCCCACTCAAATTTAGGTTTTTAATGTTTTGCCGTTTAAAAATCTTTTTCGTGTTGCTAGTGCAACTATAGCTAATATTTACAGTATTCCTGTTAAAGATCTTACTTAGCATAAAATTTCTGAGAAATGCTAGCAGAAATAGCATTTTGTAGCTGGAAATTTCCTCTATCCAATGGTGTTGCTATGTTCCCTGCATCTATTGTATATTAAGAGAATGCATTATATTTAAAGAGTCTCTCCTTAGTTTTTAGACTGCTTTGTGTCTTATCATTCATTGATTCATTTTTCCATCCTACACTGGTTTACTTGTGACATCAGGTGATAAAAAGCTTTCTAGAATTCATGTGTATCTATGTGTGTACATATTCAGAGAAGAATTTTATAATGTCAATCAGCTAAGTGACAAATTTTATCAGGACACCCTAGACATATGCATATTCATGCAGATGGGCAGACGTGAATGAACACACATCTGTACAAACAGGTGCATGGCTGCATGTGCACAAACACAAATATGAATGCAAACAATATGGAAAAACTCAAACCAATGATAAGTTCATAAAAATGAAAAAATTGAAAAGTATAAGCAGTCAATTACTGATACACCTATGAAACTCTGCAGTTGGAATGTTGGAGGTAATATCAATCAGCTAAGTGACAAACATTTTTATTAAATATATATAATTTTTATATATATATATATATATATATATATATATATATATATATATATATATATATATATATATATATATATATATATATATAAAAGGCTCAAACACTAATATTTCATGGTTATAATTTATTTCATTAGATTCATAATAATGACCGAATTCATCAGACCTAAAAAATTAAAATTTGTTATATATCAAACCTACAAATTAAAAGATTTTATATATATATATATATATATATATATATATATATATATTTGGAACACCATAAATTTGATTATTATTTCTTTACTAAGTGGAATGCATGTGAAACCTGATTAACCAATGAAAATCAAACAGCACATAAATAAAAATACCAGAATTTCTTTCTTCTTTTTCTACATATCTCAACAAGTTAGATTGATAAACATTTCCTATTTGTTTATCTTATCAGTCTATTGGATTCTGATCAAATTTGATCCCAATTCATATATACATAAAAAATGTCTTAAAATAATTGTTGAACTTTGTGCATTTCATTATATATATATATATATATATATATATATATGTGTGTGTGTGTGTGTGTGTGTGTGTGTGTGTGTACATATATAAATGTGAGAGAGATTTATATACTTTAATATTTAATAAGGTGTATTTAAATAGCAAGGATTCTTTCAAATATGTTTGGTTGAATAATGACAAGTTCTGTTAATCCAATTTTTTATTAACTTTTTCAAGTTTCTGAATTAGTTGTTTTACATAATTGGTAAGTCTATACACATATAGATCAAGATATCACAAAAATATTAATAGATAACATCAAAAAATTATATAGACTCAGTACAAAGGAAGACTAAAAATTCTGGAAACCATTGTAATACTAGAGAAGCAGCCAAGATTAAAAACTTATCTTTCTCTATATTGGATTGTATATTGCAGTATGTATAAAAAAAAAAGTAAAAAAAAAAAGCAGAACTTTTTGATATTATTCAACCAAACATGTTTCAAAAATTTAATATATTTATATATGATTGTATATATATACACATATCACTTAATACTTAGATAAAAGTTTTGTTTATTTTTGAATTTTTTTTTAGGTCAAGTTAATTTTTTTTACAAAACCTGTGGGGGAGTGGCATAAAAATCTACCAACTACAGCAAACCAACCCTACCATGTTCCACTCAGCAAATGTTCACATGGTGCAAAGGGCTCGACGCCCTAATGCTTTACGTACATACATAGCCTCATCCTCCATCATTCCTGGAAAGGAACCTTTTAGGAGAGGGGTACTGTTCAGTACTGTTGCTGGCATCATCATGATTGTTGGAGGTTTGCTGACATGGATGGGTAAGTAGTATTTTTTATTTTATTTATTTTGATGCGTGACTCTTACATAAAAATGAGTTAACATGATTAAGTGTTAAATTGATTTAAAATCTTTTATTGAAAACTAGAATATCACAATTGCATTATTAAAATGTGTTATTAAACTATTAATCTGTGAATTTTTAAATAGCTCTGTAACATAATTTTAGTGGCACAATCTGGAACTGTGTCAACATTGAAAGTCAGTTATTGTAATTGTTGCTTGTATTGTTTTCCTCCAGTGAGGAGTCTGCTGCAGACATTATTCCAAGTGTAAAATTGTGGGTATTTTGTAATTTTTTGGAGTGCAATGAAAGTTCTAATAATGTTTACACAACTAGAAAAGAAAACTGAAATCAACATGAAATTCATATATATATATATATATATATATTTCATTTCTCGAATTTATATATATATATATATATATATATATATATATATATATATATATATATATATAAAATTTGCTTGAGGATGAAATGGAACTAATGTCTTTAATTTAATTACAAAATTAAATTCTAGGCTTTTAGCTTCCATTTTTGAAACATAGTTAGAACTGTGTAGCGAAAAAACTATATTTTAAATTAGTTAATTTATAATATTAATGCTCTGTAAATTTACATTGAGCACTATTTTGTAAAAATAAAAATATCTATAAGAACACTGGATTATATACCTTACTGTTCTTTTTTTATTTATATATATATATATATATATATATATATATATATATATATATATATATATATATATATATATATAATAACTAGAGATATTTATTAAAGTGGTACATACTACCCATTGAAGTTACTACGTGGTTGTTTGTCAGAGGCCAGCTCAGCACATTTTCACCTGTCGATTGTCAATTGTCAAAGGAATGAGAGTATCTTAATTGTCTACCAAGGTTAAGACATGGTTGTCATTAACCAATCAGAGGACTCATTATATGCTGGTTAAAGCAACACTGTTAAAGAGACCTCTTGATTGGCTGCTTCATTTAAATTCTTAGAGGGGCTGTTACAAGTCTTTCCTGACAGGCATTAAAAAAAACCTCCAACTATGACTCACAAGTATGGTCAATTTCTGGCATCATCCATCAGATCATTGAGTTTTTATATTATACTATATAAAGTTGCATTTGATAGAATCTTGGTAGAATTTTTCATGAGGGTTTGCCATTGTGGTTTTTGCTACATGCCAATTTTCCATAATATATATATGGCATCCACTGATCTTGAGAGACTATGGATCTGCATCCAAAGAATTATGCCTCAGCTGCTGATGGCAGTGCAGCATCTGTTATGGCTGTACAGGCCCACACATGAGAATGATAATCTTGATTGCAATGAATGCAAGGGAAGAGGCTCTCTCCCAATGTCGCCATGTTGCTTCTTTTCCTTTGAGCATGCTTCCCCACGTCAGCAATCCTCCATTTCTTCTCTCCTCACTCAAGTCCTTGGTATCACCAGCTTCCCACCTCTTGATATCCATGTCAATCACTCTCATGTATCTTCTGAGACATTTTTGAAAGGAAGATAACGTCATCCTCATATTTTCATGTCAGTAGCCAGGTCTTCAGACAGAAGACCTTCAGAATCCTCCCATCAGTAAATTTTCTTTCCATTTTTTTACCACCACAGTGATGCATTGCTGGAATGTCCTCCAAGGCACAGACCTGGGCAGAGTCCTATGAGAGATTGTCAGTTGCCCATGTAGCATGTCTTCTCTCTCCACACCACCAAATGTTGTCCAAGACAAAGATAGGCTGATCAGTTCCATCTACTCAAAAATTTTCTATAAAGTTTATAAATAAATAACATATATTTAGGCAGCGAGAATTTATTCAAACATGTTTTATTGAATTTCACTGACAAAACCTGAAAAAATGATATTTTTTACTTCTGTTTATAAATTCTAATAGTTTCTCCTCTTGCACTTCTTGTTTATAGAAAGAACTCTCTTCTGGTTTCTTGTTTCCCAGTCAACTTTTATCTTCAAAAATTTAAATGCATTGTTAATTGTTATTTTGTCATCTTAATTTCTGTTCTTTTATTCTTCTCTTTCCTTGATAATGTTTTTTTCTCTTATTCTCTCACACTCAGTAACCCCATGTGTCTTTATTGCCTTGCTCGGGGTGAAATGATTAAAAAAAATAAATGAACTGCTCTCAAGACCAAACATGTCAGTAAATTGTTTTTGCTTTTGTCTTTATTCCTATTGTCTTTTTATAGATATATTTTTTTATTTATATCTGAATTTTTCACACACACACACAAAATTTTTTTAAAATAAAGAATTGGGAGGTCAGTTGATAAAAATCACCTGAGAATGCCATAAAGTTTCAAATATATATGCTTTAAAAATTAGGAAATCTGGTACCTTGGTTTCAACTTTATGGCATTCTCAGGTGATTTATATATATATATAGGTTTAAAAAAAAATTGTTTTACTTTTTTTTACCTTAAATTGTTTTATATATATATGGGATAATAATATATAACTTCCGCTGGAACAGAAGGGATGCAGGAGAGGTTCATATGGCTGCAAAGATCAACTTCTGATAAATAAAATGATCCTAAAAAATTGCAGGAGACGACGTAGAAATCTTAGCACAGCATGGATTGATTATCATAAAGCCTTTGATAGTGTTCCACATTCTTGGATCCTTAAGACTTTGGAAATGTACAAAGTCTCCCCTGTGGTATTAAATTTCCTTAAGCACAGCATGGGAATGTGGAACACCAAACTATACCTTAATCACACCAGAGGCACTGCCATATCCAACCGTCTTAATATCCAATGTGGAATCTTTCAAAGAGACTCCCTCTCACCCCTTCTGTCTTGTTTGTCCTTAATCCCCCTTATGCATGAATTTTAAAGGGCCTTCTCAATATTGTAAAATACTTCAGTGACGACATAGGTATGGACTTCAGATTAGATAAATGTGCAAAAGTAACATTCAAGAAAGGTAGAATTACAGAAATTCCCTTAATAAATTTAGATTTTGTCAAAGATTAGGGAACTGGAACATGATGAAGCCTATAAGTAGCTAGAAATTAGCGAAGGAGATGGCATACAACACCCCCAAATGAAGGAGATGGTAAGAAAGGAGTACTACAGGCATATATGTCTGGTACTAAATATCGAGCTAAACTCGAAAAACAGAATATCATCCATAAACACCTTGACAGTCCGTGTGGTGCAATACAGCTTTAGTGTATTTAACAGGACCACAGCTGAAATTAAGCGAATGGATGTCAAAATGAGAAAGCTTTTCACTTGCTACCACATGCATCATCCCAAAGCTGATGTTGATTGTCTGTATGTGCCCAGATCCAAAAGAGGCAGAGGATTAGTTCAACTAGAATTGTCCTACAAAATTACAACAATTGGCCTCCAAAGATACTTGGAAACTACAGAAGACTGGATGATGGTATGTGTCAAAGAACACGAAAATAGTAAGTGTCTTTACTCCTTAATAAAGGAAGCCAACAAGTTCAAAATGGAGTTTCAAGTGGGCGCAGAAATACAAGTAAAGCACAATACACCGGCTGAAGCTGCAAAATACTTAAAAAAGAAAGCAAAGACAAATGCAACCGACCAGATACAGAAACAATATATAAAGATAAACCGTTTCGTGGCCAATACTCTGCCCGTACCAACCAAGCTGACATAGACAAAACCCGTACCCATCAGTGGCTATGTAGTGCAAGGTTGAAAGCTGAAACTGAAGGTTTTATCCTTGCTGCACAGGACCAATGCTTGTTAACTAGAAATTACCAAGCACATATACTAAAATATTGTGTTAGCCCAAAATGCAGATTCTGTGATAAATATCACAGAAACAATTGATCATCTTGTATCAGGTTGTACGATATTGGCACCCACTGAGTATAAAACCCGGCATGACAGAGTGGGCCAATATCTGCACTGGAAAATCTGCAACTTCTACAGGAAGGAAACTGAAAGAAACTGGTATGAACACCACCCAGACCAGGTTACGGAGATAGGACCTGTTATAATTCTATGGGACTACACACAATACACACTGACAGAACAATCAAAGCCAACCACCCAGACATTGTTATTAGAGACCACAAACAAAAAAAGTGCCTCCTTATTAATATGGCAGTCCCTGCAGACTGCAATGTATCTTTGAAGATATTCAAAAAGCTGTCAAAATACAAGGACCTTGAAATTGAAATCTCAAAAATGTGGCACATGGGAACATCAACAATTCCTGTTGTAGTTGGAGCTCTAGGATTGGTTGGAAAAGATTCCAGTAGACTAATTGAAAGGATTCCTGGAAGTCCATGCCTCAAAGAGATACAAAAAATTGTTCTCACAAGTACAGCCCACACTTTACAGAGGGCTTTATCTATGTAATTTTTTTTTTTTTTTGTCAGTGGAAAGTGTCATGATGCCATTTCTAACCTTAGGTCCCTGGGCAGGACCCGGAAAGAAATGTGTAAACGCCAGAAATCAAAGGAAATAAAAATAATAATAATAATAATAAATAAAAAATAAAAACATCCACACTGAATGTAATTATATATTTTTTAATATCAAACAGGTACAAAAATAAAAACAAATAAAACTTTAAAGCAATTTATTAAACTAAAAAAAATATTTCTAATGTAGCATAACAAATAAAATTATAGTTTCATAAAATTATATACAATAAAAAAAATATATTTTTAAACTATTGGTTATAAGATTAAAGATATTTTTTATTTTAAAACATAACTACCAATTCCATGATTATTGCACTGCTAGTGTTCCGTATTTCTTTCTTTTATTTTTCTTTCGCGTGCTTTTTAAGAAAGATTGAAAAATATTTAAAAATTTAATGTTGTGACTTTTGTTTGAGTTTTGACCCCACAAGTTACTATGCATAAATAAACAGAAACTTTATTTTCATGGTGCTTTAATTTTAAGCAGAAAGTTAGCACAACGCTTTACAAAATTCAGTTAATCAA